ATGAAAATCTGCAGAGGAAAGGAGAACACAGGAGGTTCTAACACACAAACCAACACAGCTCTTCCCCTGAGGTGTTGGGTGATGCCATGCAGAGGATGTGTCCCAAAACTACAGCTTTGGCTCTAAAATAGTGTGTGTAGGAGAGTATTCATTATATACTTGAATTTACTGAAATAAAATGCTGCAGGGAGTGGTAATCACTGTCACAGGGTCAGGTTTGCTTTCCTCAGGTGTGTTACTGGGGGAAGCAGCTGCACTGGGAACTTTCTGCTCCAGATTTGCTGTGTGCTTGGACAAGTCAGGATTGTCTGGGGAGATAACCAGGATGGGTTTGTTTTGGTGGCCTGGAGCAGAAGGGCTTGGAAATGTGTTGGTTGAGAAGAGCAAGAAGCCCTTTCTTGCAGCAGGAGGTTTGATTTTATGGAAAACAGACCCCAGCAAGTGTTCCTTCCAGCTCAGAGCGTCTGTGCAGAGTTTGGCCACCTCCAGCCATGTACAGGAGTGCTGGACCTGCTTCCAGAGGGGCTGAAACACTTTCTCTTACCTTTGCCTGGTAAAGTTTTTAAAAGCAATGAAGTCAGTTCCGTGAGAAGTCATCAGATGTTCCGGGCAGGGCGCCAGGACACGCAGGAACGGATTGTTCGTACCTGCCCCGGCGCCGAGAGAGGAGCTGGGCTGGGAGCTCTCCCTCAGCCTTTTGGGCTGGCTGTCCAAGCCAAAATACTGGAGCTTTAAGGTATTCCTGGGATCTCCTCGTGCTGTGTCTGGCTTTGAGCAGCTCCCATGTTCAGCTGGTCTGTAGGAAGCAGGAGGGAGCACGAGTTGGAGCCCTTCGCACCAGCAGATGGCACAGGCAGCAAACATTTGGGTGTAAAGTGTGTGTAACTGGTAAAGACTTGGTGTATTCGTCTAACATGGAGATTTTCGGGTATTTTGCCAAAATTAAACCTTAAAATGGTTTGGTCAGAGCTTCCTTTAGCTGGTGTTTAGTGTCTTTGCTTAGTTGTTACTTAGTAAGGATCGTTTCTATCATACAGCTGTAACCTGTGCAAACCCCAGTTTAATGTCTGGGTAGGAGGACTGTACTACAGGCATGGGTGTGGTGATGAAGGGATGACACTGCTGGGCTGCAAATGCAAACTTATTTACTGTAATAGCTTCCTTTACATGTGTGTTTACTGGAAAAGCAGCCAGTGTGCACATGGCAATCAGCAGCTCTGCAATGATGGTTTATTTTAGCTTGCAGGTTATTTTTCTGACCTGTTCATTTACATGTGAATTTTAAATACCTTTAGCAATGTTAACCTGGCAGTCCAGTGCTTTGGAAGTTTCCTCTTCCAGCATTACATGTGACCTATTTTTTTCTTTCAAGTTTAGGGACATTAATCAGAAAGACACAAGAGAAAAATAATTATTAAGCAAACACTGGGGTTTGTTACTTGTAGGAGGTGCCGTTGACCTTTGCAGAAACCTCCTGGCTCTCCGTGTGACTGTGAGGTGTGGGTGGCTGGTGGTGGCAGACCCTTCCATTACAGGAGGTGCTGGTCTACACTTAGAACATCAGAGCCTCCACAGGGGAGGTGCTCTGGTCTCCTTATCATCTAAGAAGGACATGGAACTGTTGGAGTGAGGCCAGAGGAGGCCACCAAGTTGATGATGATAATCCCTCCCCTGTGGAGACGGGCTGGGAGAGCTGGAGCTGTTCAGCCTGGAGGAGAGAAGGTTGTGTGGAGACCCCACAGCACCTTCCAGGATCTGAAGGGGCCAACAGGGAAGCCAGAGTGACAGGACAAGGGGGAGTGAGTGAAAACTGAAAGAGGGGAAATTTAGGTGAGATATTAGAAAGAATTATTTTTCTGTGAGGGTGGGGAGGCCCTGGCACAGGCTGGGGCCACATACATGGGGTGCAGCCCCCCAAACCTCCACTTTGGGGCTGCATGACCACCCTGGGAGGGCTGAGCTCCAGGACAGGCCTGGAAGGATTAAGGCTGCTGTGCCTGCCCTAATTCCAGCCCGTGCAGGGGTGGCTTTGCTGCCAGCTGTGGCACACAGCCCAAATGCCACACTGACTGAAGCTTCCAGGCTGCAACCAAAATAATTACAATATGGATAATTACAGCCACATTATTTCATTAAAATTGTTCCTTCATTAAGTGCATATATTTGTGATATTGCCTAGGCAGTACAGAAGGGTGTATTTCCTGTCTTGAAATAATTAGAGGCTCTCCACCTAAACTCCACCTCCCAGGGAAATTATTTCTTACAGTTCAACTATTCTGTTTACTTAAGGGTATTTTCTCTCTTTTTGTGCTCTGCCACCCCCAAGTTCCACATTAACAGATGTGCAAGTGAATTTACTGTAGGAGAACTCCTTCTGACTGTAGATGTAGATGTTGTGTCTTACAGAAGCATTTGGGCTCCCTTGAGCTGTTCCATTTTAGGCCCTGGTGACGTTTGAAGCTGCTGTGGGTTAAGCCCACGGGTGACACCTGATTCTGGAACAAGGAACTTCCTTCCTACAGACCTAATCCCGTGCTGGAATGGAACCAGGTGCTTTAATTCTGGAGTGAGAGCATCAGCATGTGGGATCCATCAGGAACAGATCCATGGGTGGAGGAGGTTTAGATGGGATATTGGGAAGGAATTCCTCCCTGGGAGGGTGGGCAGGCCCTAGCACAGGTTGTCCAGAGAGGCTGTGGCTGCCCCATCCTTGAAGTGTCCAAGGTTGGACAAGGCTTGGAGCAAACTGGGCTAGTGGAAGGTGTCCCTGCCCACGGCAGGGGGTGGAACCAGCTGGTCTTTAAGGTCCCTTCCAACCCAAACCATCCTGGGATTCTAAAGGCTGTGGAGACCCTGAGCTCATTGTTTTCTCCTACACTCAAGGCCCTCAGCCAGAAACTTTGTTTTCCCTCAATCAAGGGTCTTGATCTACAGGGAAAACCAGGCCTGAGCAGTGCCCCAGGAGCCCCCAACCCTGGGGACAGGCTCTGCTCAACCCACACACGCTGCTGCTGAGCCACCTCCACCAGCACAGCTCCACCCCAGAAAACCCCTTCAGAGAGTCGGGAAGAGGAGGAGATGCCTTTGGAGCATCATCCGGAGATCCACCCGCTCCAGTGGTGGTCTGTGACTTGTGTGAAGCTCTGAGAGAGCAGGGAGCCCTCAGGGGCCCAGGAGAGCAGCTGTCAGTGCAGCACAGATGCACCTGATAAGCAGGAAGGCTTTGCTGTGTCTCTGGGCTGGGGGCAGGCAGGAAGGGGCCGTTGGGGCTCTGGAGCTACTGCTTTGTCAGGTTTTTATCAAACCTTCTCTGACAAGATTTGCTTTTGTGCTGGACAGGGTGGACTCGTGTGTGAGCCACTGGCTGTGGGTCGGTTTAGTTGTTGAGGTGTGAGCTGTGGTGTCCCACAGCACCGGGGGTGCTCTGTGAGTGCCTTTGTGCCCAACCAGCTGGGGACAATGCTCATTTTTAGGCTCTAACAGCAAAAAAGGAAGTGAACTGTTCAGTTAAATGTGTCAAAGTTTGCTGCTGCTGCAGCTTAACGCGGGCAGGAAAATCTAACAGTTACAGAGAAATGGGGAGGCTGCCCAGGATGTTGAGCAACCAGATGACAAAACAGCAAATAAAACCTGGTGCTGATAAAAAAAGACATGTAAGGGGGGGGGGGAATTCTCCTTAGGTAGGAGGAGTTGTAAATCAGCTCTTTTCATGCTGAAAGGAGATATTTTGGGTTCATGAGCAGTGGCTGGTGATGGCAGAGGAGATGCAGAGGGCACTGGCAATGCTGGAGGACCTGTGCCATGGCCATTGGCATGTTCATGGTGCAAGAGGAGGGGACACCAAAGGGGTGATGAAATCTCCTGCAGCTCTTGGGTTGGGAGGTGGGGGGAGCCCATGGAAACGGGGCTGGGATGGGCGGTGTCAGAAACACACCCAGAGCTGCTCCCACCAGCCCCGTGTCAGCCTCACTTGCCTGGTCTCATGTGTAAATAAGACTTATCAAAACCCTTGATGCTGTTCCTAAACAGCTTAAGCTGCCCAAGCATCCCCCAAGAGCTTCCCTGGCTCTGTGCTGCTGCCCCAGTGGCTTTTTGTTTGGCCCAGCCCAAATTAAACCTAATTCTGTGCCCAAAAGCCACTTGTCACTTCAGCACAGACTCAGCCTGGTGAGATCGTTTCCAGAGGCCTCAGTGCTTTGCTCCTCGGTGATAACAACCCTCTGAGGGGAGAGCTGCAGGCAGAGGAAATACTTCATGCAGAGTAAAAGGGATGTTTTGGGGTATTTCTTTGTGTTCTCAGCTATGTTCTCGTTCAGATCCCCAGCCCTGTGCTGAGAAGAGATTATTCAGATTGTAGTACTCAGAAATCTTTCCAGAGAAGAGATTTTCGTGGGAACCTCAGCTTCTGCTGGCTCTGAACAGGCTGATGGAGAACAAAGTCCAGGTGAGGGGTGCCACAGGGAGGGCAGGCAGGTCCCTCCTGAATCCATCTCCACTCCCACAGTGAGTCCACCCAACTTCCTGTAAAAAGAGATGTTTAATTCTAATCTGCATAACCCCCATAGCTGAGGCAGTGGGTGCACCCAGGGGATTTTCTGGGGGGAAACATCAGCTTGTTGAGGTTTCTCTCACTGACCAATTTCTGAACTTCTGACACCGCTTTATGTAACATCTTTTTCCCCTCAGGAGCTAAAAGTAGCTCTGGGGGGTGGTTGGCCAGGGCCATCCTGCCCCCCTCCCACAGGGACCAGAAGGGAGAGTGATGGGCTTGATTCCTGCAGCTTTAGCAATTCCTGTTGTCCTGGGAAACCCACCCCTCTGCTTTTCTCCCCAGGGCACAAGAGAGAAGTTAAAATAATTTTGCAAAAGCATCTGAAATGTTCTGCAGGTGCTCAAGAGGCATCAGCAGCCCAGGTTGCTGCCACGTGTTGGTCCATCCATGTAAGTGTGTGTTGGTGATGCAAAGGGAAAAGTGGGCCAAGAACCACCTTTAAAAAGCATTTTTAAAAAGGATTTTTTTTTTAATTATATACAAGAGGAAATACAAAAATAAATATTTTTTTCACTATGGTCAATGTATTACAATGAACTCTGTGCTTTCCTTGATTTAGCAGTGCTTTCTCAGCCTTCACTCAGGTATAGAAGTGGCTCAGATTCCTGTAGAGATGAGGTGGTGGAGTTTTGTTTTATTATCTAGAAGAGTTTTTGAAAAGAAAAGGGGAAAATCTGTGTTCTGACACTCTCTGGGCTTCACATGCTTTTCCTACAATATTTATGTTTTTCTATAAATTATAAAACAACATTGGCATAAATAAAAACTCAGACTGTCACAGCATTTTATGTTTCAAACTGTAACTAACCTTTCAAATGTTCACAGAAAAATACATTTTACAAGGAGGTGTGGCACCCCTGACTCTGCTCACAGGGAGTTCCAAAGCCAAGTCTGGAGAGGTTTGGATCCTCTGACTGTGTTTTAATCCTTCTACTGTTAATGAAGAGTGGATGTGATCTGTGGGTCAGTTATCAGTGAAAGGGAAATAATTTGCCCCATTTTTGGTGAGAACAGAATCTGAAAGCCTAAATTAACAACGCTCCAGACACAGCCCCATACATGACATGGCTCCAAACCACGTGACTTTCCAGCCAGAAATGGGAACTGATGGCACAAAAACAGTGTCTGGAAGGTTCAATGATGTGACTTGAGGCTCTGTCATTTGCTACACCCCAAAAGGGAGGTTTCTTTAATTATTTAAATGGCAAGTCCTTTGGGGCCACTTTTTTCTCCATGGTCAATGTGGCTGGAGGCTCCTGGCATGAGTTAGTCCCTGCTGGATTGTCTTGTGCTTCAGAAATACAGAATATTGTGTTGTCCTGTAATTTTTTTGGCTCAAATTCTTTCTGCAGAGCAGGAGCCCCAAATCTTTGCTGCCTCTTGCTGCAGTGCACGAGCAGGACACGGCTGGGAAGTGCCACAGGTGACAACGGGGCACAGCATCACTCCTGCCACGGGGCCTTGTCCTCCCCCTGCTCCAGCCTGCCCAGCTTAGGAATGGAAATGCTGTTATTTATACTAAGAGAAAAATTGCAACTGAAGTTGCACATCCTTGGGTTTTGGTGGGGTTTTTTGTTGTTTGTTTGTTTGTTTGTTTATTCCAACCCTGTCTGAAAGCAGAAGTTTGCCTGAGTGGTGGGGAGAACAGTGGGCCAAAGCCCAGAATCCAGTGAATCCCTGAAGTGCTGGCAGCTGTGTGGGGAAGGGCAGCGCTGCTATTCCGTGGTGTCCTCCACCAGCACGTCCCTGGAGTGTTTCCTGGTGTAGCTGAGGTGGTGGAGCTGGATGCTGTCGTGCAGATCCTGCCTGGAGAGGCGTCTCCTGAACTCATCCGTAGTAAAGTAGTAGATGACGGGGTCGACGCAGGAGTTGAGGCTGGCGAGGCACAGAGCCACGGCGTGGAACACCGAGATCACCTTCTGCACGCACCCCCCCTTGATCTGCTTGGTCTTCACGAAGAAGTCCAGGGGGAAGCTGATGTGATAGGGTGCAAAGCAAATCAGGAACACCAGGGCGCAGGTGAGAATCATCTTCAAGGCCTTTTTCTTCTCCCCCAGGTCGTGGGAAGCGGAGTTTTTTGCTTTCAGCGACAGGGTGGTCTTCCACGAGCAGTACAGGATGATGAGCAGGGGTGTCACGAAGCCCACCAGCTCCCCTATTGTCATCAGTGTGATGGAGGTGGGAAGGTCGAGCTCCTTGATGGGCAGATCCACGAAACAGGCGTTTTTGTTGTTCTCGTCGAGCCTGAGGAGCGGGAAGGGCAGGCAGGCCACGCAGACCACGACCCAGCCCACGATGCTGACGTAGATGTCGCAGACACGCTTGCAGTCGCTGAACCTGAAGGGGTGCATGAGGAACAGGTACCTCCTCACGCTGATGCACACCAGGAAGAAGATGCTGGCGTACATGTTGACGTACTTCAGGTAGAAGCAGAGCAGGCAGAGCCCTCCCCCGAATTCCCACGTGCCCGTCAGGTAATAGAAAATCCTCAGGGGCAGGGACAGAACCTGCAGTAAATCGGCAATGGCCAAGTTGATCATAAAAATCACGGCCCTTTTAGTCTCCTTCATGTACCCATAGAAGACCCACAGGGCCAGTGTGTTTGCTATGAGGCCGGGCACGAGGATGACGGTGTAGGTGATGGCGTAGTAGCGCTTCAGGTCTGTCTCTGTGCAGTTGGAGCTGTTGGTCATGGCTGTGCTGCGGGCCCTGGCACCATAGCATGTCCCTCAGCCTGTCCTGCAGCCACCCTGTCCTCAGGTGCTTCAGTGAAGTGTTTTCAGCCCCTGGAATCCGTGTGTGGGGTTTGGTTACTGGGTCCTCGTGGCTGCTCTGGGGAGGAGCTTCGTCACTTTGGGGTGAGGGAGTTAATCCAAGCCCTGCTCACGTGCTGTGCTCATGCCCCCTGTCAGATGGAACCAGCCCTTGCTGTGCTGGCCTGCAGGGTGGGCAGGGAGGGCATCCACGCTGGGAGGTGCATCACAGAGTGCCCAGGGGGCAGGTCCTCACAGAGCTGTGCCTCTGTCACCTTTTGGGTGGCATTTCAGCCACTTCTCTCAATGCAGGAGTTCAGCAACTCACGTGGCCCTGCAGCTGAAGACAGAAAGGTGCAGTTAGAGCATTGTGGGGAGACGTGGGTCAAACAGAGCTGGAAAGAGCCATGGGAACAACTGCCCAGCAGAAACCTTGGTGGCTTTGGAGGTGGTCAGCTCTCCTCCTGCCTAGCAAGCACCATGCCTTGTCCAGTGGAGGTGTGAAACCACTGAGGAATAAATAGAAAATGTGTTTAATTTCTGCTACAAACCAGGTGTGTTGGTGTTCCTGTGCCCAGGCATGTGGCTGGTGCTGAGCTGCCTCCCCCAGGCTGGCTGGGACACCTCACACTGCCCTGATCTTCCCAGGAAAGCCCTTCTGCAGGTTCAGCCCTCCCCACGGCTGCAGGTGACAGAGGGAGATGTGCCCCTTATGTAACACATGATGTGACACAAACATTTCCCACCGGAGCAGCCACCGCGTCATGCAGGGGAAGTCACAGCTCGGTGGCTTTCACCAAACCAGGGTCAGCTTTTTTATTTCTGCTCCTAAATAGAACGTGAACCGTCCCTGCTGCAAGCAGGGACAACTGCCCACTTACTGCCCACCTTCTGCTGCACAGCAACCTGCAGGGTGTTAAATCTGCCTTTCTCACAGCTGCCTTTTCCAAGCCTCTCCTCACCCACCCCGGCACTGCTGGGGCTGTTGGAAATACCAGACACCAGCACTAAGGGGATTGTAGGTGGACTTTATTGCAAATTGTTTGCACAGTAAAGAGCTGATGTTATCTGAATGTGTCAGACAAAAAAACCTCAGCCAGCTCTGATAAATCTGGGGGAAGTTCAGATGTCTGCCCAAGCTCTCTCAGGTTTGCCTTTGGCTTCCACATGGAGAATTAACCTGCAGGTCTAAGTGGGAGAAGTACCAACCTGGATGCCAAAGGCACAGTTATTTAATTTTAAAGGTTTTAATTTAATTTTTTTTTTTCATTTGAAAGGTAAAATGACACCCTGCTGCAGTCCCTGCTGTTTTTTTCTGTGCTTTGAGGTGCAGGCATGAAAATGTGGACACTTACTGACGGTGCTGACGTTCAACACTTGTCGGTGTGATGGCACCGAAACTTTGAAGTAGCTTTGGGTGGAAACAGAAAATCTTCTGCAAAAGGAAATGGTTGGGGGGTGCAGCCTTTCTGTGTCTATTTGTGCAGTTTCTCCTGCCTTTTCATCACCATTGAGTGATGAGTCCAAGGAGACTGAGACAATCTTCCTTCCTTCCAGGGAGCCAGCATCCACATAACCAGTGGAGCAAAATGGCTCCTGAAATAATCCCATTGGACTCCAGGAGCAATGATTAATAAGCCATAGAGAAATCAGCCCCCAGCTTAAAGACTTCCCAATTCCTTTAGCAATTCTCCCTCCAACTTCCAATGAACCTTTAGGAATGTGAGTAATCTCTTCATCAAGCAGGAAAACTCCCTGGTGCTCACCCAAAACCCCTTGGGTTTTATCCATCACTTGTGGGTCACTTGGGCTGAGGGCTTTGATTTCCATATGATGGGGCTTGACTGGCACGTCCATGGAAGTGTCCAGGACCAGGCTGGACAGCAACCTGGGCTAGTGGAAGGTGTCCCTGCCCATGGCAGGGGGTAGAATGAGATGTCTTTAAGGTCCCTTCCAACCCAAACCATTCCATGACTCCATGAGCTCCTTGCCTGACGTTGCTCTGAAGCAGCAGAGGAGCTCAGGTGTCACCTCTCCCTGCCCAGATGGGTGTCCTGATCTTGCAGGACAGCTGGCACTGCTGTGCCAGGCTGGGCACCACCCACGGGGCATCCAGGACGAGATAAAGCCCTAAACCAACATCTCCCAGCTCTTCCTTGCAGTAGTTCTTTAATCTTTTTTTTTTTAATTAATTTAAAGCAGCTTGTCTTTCAGCAGGGGCTGCTGTCACCCACTCAGGGAGACTGAATCATGCTCCTTTTGCTCTGGCTGCATTCCCAGGGGAGGAAACTCACTTTAACTCTGTGTCTGGGCCATGAGACACACAGGGGGAAGGACAAGGTGCAGCCCCAGCCCATCCACAGCCCCTGCACACACATGTGCATACTCATATTTTTCCTGCTGTCCCCCAGCTCCTGCACTTCCCATCCCCACTGCACAGCAACTTCCCTGGAACTCCATCCCCTGCTCCCTCCAGCCTGGCCCGGCTCAGGGGGCTGCACTTGCAGCACCTTCTGCCCCTCCCCGTGGCACGAGGGGTCCCAGAAGGCCCAGCCAAAGGTGGGGACCACCGAGGGTGCTCACCCAGAAACAGCCTTGGAGCTCGGGGAGAGGGGTATAAAACCTCAGCAATGTGAGAAACGGCGCTCTGGAAATCCCGAACAGCAACATCACACAAAGTTCAGCCCCACGTGCTGTGTAAGAACCAGCAGGAGGCTAAAAAAAGCTCCAGAAAGAGGAAATTTTGTATCGTGTGCTCTGTGCTCGCTTCCCCCCAGCACAGGGGGTAGGGCAGAGGCTCTCCCCAGGCACAGTCCCCTCCCCTGAGTGGCTTTTCCCCCTGAATTTGCCAAAGAGAGCCCCCCAGTCAGCCACACTGGGGCACTGGATGAAGACTTTGTGCTTAATGAGGCAGAGGCAGCAGGTAAAGTTTGCAGCCAGACTGAAAGCAGCTCCTTAGAGCTGGCCATGCCCTGTGCCCATGGACATGCCCTGCTCCATGGGAACACCTGCAGGGGGTGGGGGTGTGGGAGCAGCCATCAGTGCTCACACCTGTGGGCTCTGCCCCTGCCCTCATCACTGCCCATCACCCCCTCAGAGCCCATCAGAGCTCAGGATCCACACCTGAGGGTGCTTAAAAACCCTGGGTCAAGCCAGGGTCTCGTTAGCAAATCCTGAGGGGTTTAGCCCAGGGAAAGCCTCAGCAGCCCTGAAACACAGCTGGGTGGAGGAGAGGCTTTAAATCCAGCCTGGGGGAGGGCAGTTCACAGCCAGGCACAGTTTGGGGTGCTGTCCCTGCTGTGGCACTGTGCCTGGAACACTTCTGGAGCTCAGGTTCCTCCAGGAGCTGGGATGCTGTCCCACACCTCCTGCTCCTTCCCAGAGCCAGGATGAGGGATCAGCCTGGATGGATCCTGCCCCCAAGCACTATCCTTGCTGCTGGCACAGGTGAGCTGTGGGTGCAAACCCACGCTATGTTCATTTTGGGGCTGTATTTGTGCTGTAGGAACATGTAAAGCCTGTGCCAGAGGTGGCCTGGGCACAGCAGCACCACCCTGGTGCCCCTGGCTGCCTTACCCTTTTGGGGGGAGCTGGGCTGTGCTGCTGCCTGGCACCTCTCTTCTATTTTTCCTCCTTCTCCTCCCCAACCTAAAATAAAAGCAGAACATGCACATGGGTTACATCAAATGGAAATTCAGTTTCCTGCTGAAGCTGTGCTGGTGGGGGCAGAGGGAGGGTGGCTCTGCCTCCCTGTGGGTTCTCTGGGGGTGTGGGGACAGGGCCAGTGGTGTCCTGTGCTGGGCTTCTCCCAGTGCCCACCGGTTCTCCAGCACCTGAAGTGCTGCTGGCCTGTTTTGGCAGAGGGAACTATTAGTAACTAGTGGGTTTTAACTAATCCTAGGTGCTCCCTGAAAACAGAAATCACAGAAACAGAGGCTGATCATTGCACAGGTTTTCTTTTCGATTCTTTCAGTTCACGTCAGGGGAGGATGAAGCCTTCTCTGCCTTGAAGCAGTTTCCTTGTAGGTGTTTGTGGTTTGTATCTTCCTCCAGGGGGTCAATACTGCCCTTTGCTGTATTAACTGAATTCCAAGAATATGCAGGAAAACACGATGGGATTTTTGGGGTGTCCTGTGCAGGGCCAGGAGTGGGACTCGATGATCCTGATGGGTCCCTTCCAACTCAGCACATTCTATGAAATGCTCTGCTCTAATGCCATATGAAATAGTCTGCTTTGGCCTTTTAATCCTTTGCAAAAGCTCTTGTCCTCCTTTGTTAATATTAATCTTGGTTAAGAAGGGGAAAATAACCCAGAGCAGCCGTGCTGTGTGTTATCCTAATCCCCCAGCCCTCTTCTCCCTCCCTGGCACACCCCAACACTCCTGGGAGATGTTCATGGCAAGGAGCACCAAAACTGTGAGTTTTCCACCCAAGCCAGCAGGGCACATCCCCCAGGCAGGGGGGCCGTGTCCCTGGGCTGTGATAACCCTGCCTCCCCCCTTCCCTGATTCTTGCAATTAAATGGAAAATGACCTGTGGAAAATCCATGTGGTGCCTCCTATGAGGAACAGACCACTTGGGAAAATCCATGGGACAAATAGCGTGAGACAAACCCAGAGGAGCGAGTGAATTGGGTCAGTTGTGGGGATGGGGCTGTGTGACCTCAGAGTCCACTTACAGAAAAGTCCCATCACAGGCAGCTGTGGGTTTGCAAAGGCTGAGAATCACTGGGTTTAACGTTAATCCTTAAATTCAGCTTCTTGATACTCACGTAATGATAGCAGAAAATACAGTTTGGCCTCCAGGGCTGGGTGTTTTGGTTCCAGCCGTCCCCCTGCTCTCCCTCGGGTACCCAGAGCATCTGTGAGCAGGCACTGGAGCTCTCCCTTCCAAAACAGGAGTTATTGGCCCCTTACCTGTACCTGGGCTTACTCTGTGTCTCCTCCCTTCTACCCACTAACTTCTGGAGATACACAGGGTGGGTGTTAAGTCAGGACCCCCCTGCCCCTCCCTGGGGTGTCCCATCCCCTCTGAACCCTCCCAGTGCCCGTGAGAAGCGGCACCGGCTCTGCCACAGTTACCGAAAACAAGCCCAATTTAAACCAGAGTTAGCTGGGATAGAGGGATCAGTCCTACCTCTGCTGTCCTGCCAGGCTGCTCTGTGTGCCCCTGTGGGTGCTGCCAGCAGGTCCCACCGTGGGTCCCTCCCTCGCCGTGCAAAGCAAAAGTGCAACTGGAGGAGCTGCGGCTGCGCCCGCGCAGAGGAACGGGGTGGGAGGGCACTGCTTTTGGGGTGCTCCCCCTGCCTGGGCCTTGCTGGACTCTCCTCCTCTTTCCTT